TATATCAGTCAGATTCTACTGCAAAGTTCTTAAATTGTATTATTTCAGTACATTGTTATGATTTTTTACTGACCTGAACGATGCTTCAGGGTACAGGTCATGGCTGGTCCTTGCCTTTGCTGCAAATGGCGCTGTCTGTCCAACTGTGGGCCATCATCGTCACCCAGATGTGCTCGAACTGGGCCTACTACACCCTGCTCACATCCCTGCCCACCTACATGGACGTCATCCTGCACTTCGACCTGCAGTCGGTGAGATTTCCCTTCACTTGTTTCATGTTTACCGAAGCGCTTCAGATGTTTGAGATCAGAGTAGAGACACATGAGACTCACCCGAGTAAAACTTAATAAAACTATGATGTGAAATTTCAGTTTTAATGTTATGATAGATTACAGAGACTTTGTTTTATCTTTGACCTCTGCTTCTTTTTTCTCTTAATTGTAAAAAAAAATAGTAAAAAATAGAAGAATTGAAACAGTGTCAGATAGTAAACATGTAGCTTTATCCAAAAATGTGGAGACGTCAGAGAGGAAATCAAGTGAAAGTCCCAAAATCTGAAACTACAGCATCAGCTCTACACTTTCCTGATGTCAGTGTTTATATTTCTGTATTTTTGTGTTGGGACAAAGTCTGAACATCTGTCTGTGTGTCTGTATCAGAACGGCTTCCTGTCCTCTCTGCCGTACCTGGGCAGCTGGTTGATGGCGTGGGCGTCTGGAGTCATGGCGGACGCCCTCATCGAGCGGCGAGTGTTCAGCGTCACTGTCGTTCGCAAAATCTTCACGCTTGTAGGTAAATAAAACTTGAGTGCTCATTTCATCTGTGTGCAGGCTTACATACATATAGGTGTTTGCACACTCAGAAGGTAAAACAGGAAGTTAGTCTCTCAGGTTAAAGTCTTGACTTTTAAGAGAGTTTTACATCCACTTGTAAAGAATTGTGTGAATTTTCTGGCCTTGCCGGGTTAGAAAGGCTGCTGGTTTAACATTGATATGAAAACACAGTCACAAAAGGTTGTCCACGTGTTTTTTGGGCAACATGTGAATCCTGCAAGACCTGTTTGGTGAAACCTGACTGAGGAAAGTTTATGACCGAATCGAGGGTAGAATCAAACATTAAAAAAATCCTGCAGAATTTCTTCTTTCATATAAGGGCTCTGTGGATTTAAGGTTCTGTGGATTTAAGGTTCTGTGGATTTAAGGTTCTGAGAGGGTAAAAAAAAATATGCCTGCATTTTTAAAATGCAAATCTTACTGCATTTTAATTTTTTTTAAACTTGCACAACAACGACAGTATAAGCCTGTCATGAGTCAAACCTAAATATCAAAGTTGTTCCTGATAACAATCTATTGTGAAGTCCATTCAACTTGATTACCTATTCATGCCTGACTCTGTCTTCATGCTGGATTCCTGCTATGATGACTCATGAAATCCTCCTAGAATACAGGATGCAGCTGAATTCACAAAGAGCAGAAAGCCTTAGAGTCAGCAGCAGCAGCAGCAGTCAGCTGATTTGTTGGAATTTGGGAGTTATTTTGAGACTAATAAGTTTGCTGGATCTCAGTGTTCCTCTGCCAGCAAAATCCCACTTTAAGCCAAGGCACTGGAATTACAAACATCCAGAAAGAATGAGAAACACGGCACAAACTAAACTCGCCTCATTTGCAACACTTCGACAAATATTTTACTACAGAGATCATTTTATGTGATTTGTCTCTGGGTCCCTGCCCGAGATGAAAAACTGTGTTCATCAAAGCTTCGTCTGCAGTTTTTACATGTGACACAGGAACAGTTACTGTTCAACACAAACAAATGCAGATTAAAGTTTGAGTGACTTAATCAAGCAACGCTGCCCCCGTGTGGTTTAGTTTGCATTTGTTGTTGTGAAGCGATAGTATGAGGCCTGCAGGACTCCAGGTGACTGTGACTATAATATACTTGTTTTTTAATGCATGTGTGTGTATGCTGTGGTTTTACTGGTCTGGGATGAATGTGGCCCATGCACTGAAGTGAATTTCCTCCCAGTAAAACCAACACTTCACTCAGAATAACTACCGTCCTAAATATTAGTGTGGGTCTATTCTGCTTTTCCTGGTTTTGTTTTTATATACGATGTTTTTGAATTAGGTTGCATAGCTCAATAAAATAAATAATATATTTAAAAAAAAAAACAGAAGTACAGATCTAAAGAAAAGAAGTACACGAGGTAAGACAGATTTCTTTTCTCTTCCCTTATGGACTAATGAGGTTAGAATATGTGAAAGTAATCCTTGTGAAAAGCTCAGGTCTCACACTCCTCTAAACAAACAGTTTCTGTTTTGTTTTTTTATTTTGACTCTGTGTGATGTCATTGAGAGCTTACACACTCCCACCTGCTATTGAAACCTTCTGTTTGTGAGTGTCAGCCAATTGGAAGGAAGCAGCCTTTAAAGTGAGAGGAGCTTGTTTCCCGGAGGATGAACAGAGGTGTAGTATCAGGGCATCAGGTATAAGCTAAATAGGGATTATTTTGGACTTTGACTAATGCAAAGCCGCTCTAGTAGTGTCCAGGTATAAAGACAGAGCTGGACATGAGTAAATCAGATTCTCTCTTAAAGAGAAAAAGTGACCCAGTACTGTTTTATTTTTTTCCTGTTCCAACGGCCGTCTCTTCTCTCCTCAGGTCTGTTTCTGCCCTCGGTTTTCCTCGCGGCTGTGGTTTACACCGGCTGCGACCACATCCTCACCGTCACCTTCCTCACACTGTCAATGACAACGGGAGGGTTCAGCGCCGCCGGAGTCTTCATCAACCAGATAGACATCGCTCCTCGGTGGGTGTCATCGTCCAAACAGCTGATTAAGTTTTTACTGCTTAACAGTTTAAACCCCGAAAACATGAAACACATAAAAGCTGCAAATCACTTAAGTGAACTAGACATTGATAATCAGAGTCCACAGATCTAATGAAGACTTGGATAAATGTGACAAACAGGTACTTTGTTTCCTGCTCCTGCAGGTATGCAGGATTCCTGCTGGGAATCACCAACACCTTCGGGACTATCCCGGGGGTCGTGGCGCCGATCGTAACGGGATACTTTACTGAAGATGTGAGTATAAAGACTAAATTCATCATCTCACCAGAGCACAAAGTCTTCTTAAGTAGGGTTAAGCTACTTTATGTCTTCCTAACGTGAGGAAACCTTTCATAGCAGAAGCTGATATGCCAAAGTTAATATATGAGGCTCGTTTTGAAAGCTGGAAATGTGACGTAAATAAAACACAACCCTAACCTAGTTTGACCCTGAACTACAAAGCGAGGTCACTATTTTATGCTATCTGGATTCATTTATCCAAAATATGGCAATCAGGATAAACGAAGGTGGTTATCCTCTCGCTAAACCCAGGGTTTATCAACCTAGCTATGAAAACATTCACATTAAAGGGTTGGCGTTGCCGGCATCTGACCAATCACAAACATGGACAGTGATAATTTTACAAATAAGGATAAAACTTTATTACAGGAAAAACATGAAGGGGTTAAACACGTAAAACAGACTTGCATCACTAAAACGGGTGCAGACATATCAGCAAAGTATTAAAAGTACAATATGAATCTCTGTGCAATACTGTATTAATAAAGTTCAGGGAAAGCTGGCAAAAATGCAGACTCTGTGAGGTAACATATCGAGCAGTATCACAGCTCTTTCTCAGACTGTTAACACCTGGTGGTGTAAACGTTCTGAGAGCAGTGAGTAAATACAAAAACATAGACTTCTTGCAAATTAATATAAAGTCCAAATTTACAAATAGTTGCCCTTTTTATCTATCATATATAATATAAAATAATAAAATTGTTATAAAGTTTAAAACCAATACACGGAGCTGTTTTAGTTCTCTCTTTCTAGTACCAGAGACGGGTACTAGAAAGAGAGAGAATATTACCCCGGTACTCGCATCTCTACATTGGCTACCAGTTAAACATAGAATCGATTTTAAGGTTTTATTATTTGTTTTTAAAGC